GAGCTCAGCTTAGCGTGCAAACTCGGGAGAGATGTCCATTTCTTTCTGAGCACAGTCGTACCTTAGAAGCGACCCGGTATCTTCGCATCTCTCTCACCCTTTTTCTAAAGATCAGTCTACGAACGAATATTGAAATTAAAATGGAAGTAAGTTGGATGTGATCACAATGTGCTTTGCAATGTACTTTGGAAACCATCATAGATAAATTAATTGCAATAACTTTGCACAATATTTTAAATTATTTGTCAAATGCAGTAAATTAAGCATTTTGTTTTACATTCGGAGAAGAGGCCCTCCAGGCCTTCCAACCGTGTAAATAGTTTATCATAAAATCATTGGTATGTGTTAATAATAGTTATTAAAACTATAATTTAATTGTCATTGTAGTATTTTTACATAGTTACTAGTAAAATACGCTATATGTTAATACAAAAAAACGAATGAACAGGGGACGTAGAAATGTAAGTAGTCGTTTTTGTTTTACGCTGCGCATGCCTATGCCAGATGAAAATGGCTTGTGACCTTCACGATTTCTACCAATTTCTCCCCTTTCCACGACCGTCAAGGAATTTAGCTTCTAGAATGTTGACCCTGCGAAACGACGAGCCGAATTCGCTGCGAATGTGTGCGTTCGGCTGTGGAGTCTGGTCGTTTGGAGGCCGGTGCTGGCCGTTAGGCAGCGATGCGGCGCGGCTGCCGTCAGCCTCACCCTTGCCCTCTCCATCGATCCTCCGCTCCGCGTGCGGTGGGCGTCACTTTCGCCTCGGCCCGCACGCGCACTCGCGCCCAGACAGCGGCCCGTCCGCCACGCGCCGAACCTGCTCACGCAGCGCACCATTTACGCCAGGGCTCACTCCACGCCAGGGCTCACTCCACGCCAGGGCTCACTCCACGCCAGGGCTCACTCCACGCAAGGGCTCACTCCACGCAGGTCACTCCACGCCAGGGCTCACTCCAGTCAGCTTTCACTCAAGCGGGCTCACTCCACGCCAGGGCTCACGCCGCACTCACGCCCCAGCCCGCGCACTCACTGCCCCCACGCTCACGCCCCCCACGCTCACCCGCTCCCCCCCCACGCCCCCTCACGCCCCGCCCCGCCCCGCTCATAGCCCCCCGCTCACCCCCGCCGCATCACGCTCACTCACTCACTCCCCCACGGTCACGCCCCCGCTCCCCCCGCCAGCCCTCACCCTCCGCTCACGCCATCCAGCTCACCCGCCCACCCACGCTCACTCCCTCTCGCCAACGCTCACGCCCCTTCCCCACGCTCACGCCCTCACGCTCACGCCCGCTCCCACGCTCACGCCCTCCCACGCTCACGCCCCTCCTCATAGCATCGCTCCCCCCCTTCACGCCCTCCACGCTCACGCCCCCTCCCACCTACCGTCCTCACGGTCACGCTCCTCCCACGCTCACGCTCCTCCCGCTTCCTCCCACGCGCTCGGCGCCATGCCATTCTCTACGTCCGCGGCAACGCTCACGCCATGCCAAGCCATGCTTCACGCCACCGCCGCCGACACGCACGCCCCCAGCCACGCCCACTACGCCCCGCCATCTCCGCCCCAACGCTCACGCCCCTCCACCCCGCTACGCTCGACGCCCCTCTCACGCCCTGCCACGCTACGCTTCCACCCCAAACCACGCTCAGCCCTGCACGCTAACGCCACCCATTCTCAACGGCCGTGCTCGCTCACGGCCCGCACCTCCTCTAATCGCCCGCTCTCGCCCGCATAGCTCTGGTTCCACACCGCTCACACGCCGCCAGTCCTCACACTCACGCCCTTCACGTCCTCGCCGTTGCATGCTCACGGCCCGCACCGATCATACATCATCTGCTCGCTCCCGGCGCGCTCACGCCCCGACCCAAACACACGCCACGCACACACCACGCACACGCCATGCACACGCCACGTACACCCCTGGTTCGCATACTCCCCGTCCGCGCCCCGGCCCTGTACCGCGCCCGACCCGCTCACCCACGCCCCGCTACTTCGCGTCTCCAGCGGTTGGCGGCCCTGGCGGAGGGCGGCCGTGCCGCGTGCGCGTGCGCGTGCTGCTGGATCCGGCCCAGAATATCTCGCGGTCGCGTTCGAGAAACGTCTGCATCCTCGTTTTCCTCGTCCGCCCTTCGCGGCTTCGAAGGCCTCGAGCGGAGCGGAGCGCAGCGGGCCCCGTCGGCCACGTGCACAGTGGAGCATCGCGCGGCCGCAGGAGCCAATCTTTTTTTTTCTTCTTATTCAGCGCTTCACGAGAGAGTTTTGATATTAATAATATACAACTAACTTGCCATTAGCCTTAATACGAGCAAGGCCACTCCCTCTGGAGTCCTCAATTTCATTTTAAGTATTAGTATGTGGTTGGGGGGTGATTTGGAGGAATGGTAGAGAATCAGGAATAAATACCATTATATTAGAAGATGAAATTTATAATCAAGATGGTCTGAATTTATTGGGGAACCTGGATTGAATTATCCTTTAGTTGTAGGATTTTCCACGTCGGAAATTAGTTGGGGCTGGAGAAGACGGTAAGGTTTGGGAAAATGTAATGGAAAGTTTGGAAATATTGATCTTTCGTTACGGAATTGATTATTAGAAACAAACCAACGTGCGTATGCTGACGTACAAATTTCAGATCATTCCACGCACCAACTCATGATTTTCATAATAATATTTATTTAATCTAAATTATTTGCATGAACACCGCAGAGAAGAGGGTTTGCGTCTAAGGAAGTGTATTGGACTCGTCTGTCTTCTGACGGGAGAGATGTTTTCGAACTAGATTGGTTTAATTAAATACACATTTATTCGAATTTTATTATATTTAAAATTATATATAATATGCTATAAAATCGAATTATAAACGGGGCAAAAATAACATTTGACGGACCTCATACACTAGTAGGTTTATGAGCATTCCATTATCAAATATTACAATATAAAAGAAAGTGTATGAATACTGCACTAAACATCAGGGAGGCGACATTCATTCTCTGCTCAAATACAGCAAAACAAATATTGTGTTGCTTTGGAATTGTGTAGTTGTTCTGACCAACGAGATCTGCTTCTGAATACCTAACGTCATTTCAATTTTGTGAAAGATGTCAGATAACGTTGATAACCCAGTAGTGTTAATTACGGTGACGCAAAAAATAACGTGAAACACGTCACAGCATGTCGTTCCAATCCTTATGCTATTTGCAGGTATCGTTATCGTTGCTCGAGTAGCAATGCCATTCCACTTGAACTGACAAGACCACATAGAGAATTATCTATTCTTTCTTGCACCCCACAATGCAAACTACCCTGATTATATTGACCGAGGACAAAGGGGAAAATTCCAATGGTCTTCAGACCAAAGGCTGTTTGTTGCATTGGGTTATTAACACCTAACAACGTCCTTCGTAGCAACACAATTTTACTTTCTGCTGACTTATCAAAAAGTTAAAATTTGAATTGCATTGTTAGTGGATTTCTAACTAAAATACTTTAGGAGCATTTCCATTTTGTTTACATCATTTATTCAATTGGATACAATTGGTTACACTCAAATTTAGAAACACACCCATAAATTGTTTAAATACTTCCTAATTTGTACTAACGCTTATGAAGGATATGTAGAGAAGTTCTTTAAATTACATGAGTTATATTTCCTTTTAGTTAGCAACTGAATGCTCGAAATCTCTGTACTGAAACTCAGTAATATGTATTGGTCGGGCAATTTCCACTCTGATCACCTACGTATTTTGATAGTTCTAATTGGTTGTAATTGTTTGGCTTCCGCTGACGACGGATGGCGGGGGGAACATCTGCTGGTTGTCGCTGCTGTGGATGAAATTACCGCTGGTCCCGGAAGATTAGAGAGAGGGCATTTGTGGAACAAAATTAATCTGGCTCTTCGCGGCACCAAGAATGTCGAGTGCGCGGAGCACGGATTGATGAGCGTCGGGTGACCTCCTTGGCCCTAAGGGCCCCTTCCCAAGTGCAGAGGGCGTGCGCTGCTGCGGCAAGCGGCGGAGGACTCTCGCTACGCGAAGCGGAGGAGGGGGTACGCCCCACCGCTAGCAGAACACAGCTTTAAATGGTGGCCTTCCCACTGGGCCGCCGGTCGCTGCGTTTTACCTGCTGCGGTCCCTTTGTCCGTCGTCGCCGGAGGGTCGGCGAAGAGCCCTGCCGCTTGACGCACGCGCGCTGCCGTGGCGGCGTGGGAAGGCGTTTGACGCGTAGGAGGTGGTTGCCCAGGATGAGGGGAGCCTTCTGACGCTCTTGTGGCAAGAAGGGGTGGCTGACATACTGGCGCCGTGGCAAATCTTCCTTGTTTTATGGGTGCCCCTTTGCTCGCTAGGTAGCTGTGGCAAAGATGGATGGGGTGAATGAGGAAGGGCTCGCGTGAACTAAAACAATTAATGTACATTTGAGATGTCAGGACATCTCAGTGTCTATTGCCCAGGAAGGAACTAGTGCAAATATTTCAGCAGGTGAACTGAATTAATACATTCTTAACTAATATTGAAGTAGCGACAAATACATTTCGAATATATCTTGAATCAGATTGAGCCAAATCCGTCTAAAAGCAGTATAGAAAGTGGAAATACGAATATTTTTTTTAAACCGTTAGATACCAGTTCTCTAAAATCTAGCAAAATATCTAAAAAGTATAAAAAAACATGTTAGATTTATTTTTAAAAAGTATTAATTTTTTCATCAAATTTCCTACACATTTTTCTCTTTATTTAATCAAAGGTGCAAAGTTTCTTGCAAATTGATTGAAAAGATAAAATTGTTACTTTTCAACGTTAGATCGCAAAGTCGACAAGATGGGAGAAATGTAAAATCTTCAAATAAAATAAGCAGTTGTTTATTGCGAGAAAAAAATTTAAAAAATGTTCTAAAAATGTCATAAAATATGACTCTATCTGTAACATAATTGTCAATAAAGTAGTATACAGTATTAACAAGTTTGTCATTAAAAGTTATATTACATTATAAATTAAAAATTAAAGATTACTTTTCAACGGGCGTTCCCAACAAGATTTTGTGCTTGGGGGCTTTGCAGTTCTTAAATCTGATTCAGGTGATTCAAAAAAAGAACGACGTTATATCGTACTGAGCCACAAGAAAGCCCCAACATCTCAAAATTTATTATGTTTCCATCCGTTGAACAGTTATTAATTACTTTATTTAACACCCATTTTATAACACCTAGGTACAATAATATTCACGTACAATAATAATAATAATAATAATAATAATAATAATAACAATAACAATAACAACAACAACAACGTCCAGTTTGAGAACTTGAAATTCCATTCATTTTCTCCAAACTTCTTTCGAAGAATGCGAATTATTACAATTGTATTACAAATATTCAGTACCGGTAAGTGAATAAATAACAACATAGCAAACTACCATATGGTGAATATTTACGGAAAACGTCGGGTTGTTCTTATCAAAATGACCTCGCCCTTTCCACACTTTTGATAAGCACGGGGAACTTCCCTTTATCGCCTTCTGGGTGAAATATTATGTGCTACTTCTACGTAATATACTCGGACAATATCAGGTCTAGTTGAAACGTCCTTAAAATATTATATTTTTATTATAATATGAGGTAATTTAAAAACCAAGTCACATATTACATAGAAAAATTTAGAGGATAATTTAATATAATTTTTGAAAAATTATTAATGATACCCTTATTACATATTAAAAAAATAATAAAGTACTTTTTGGTTGATATAATGCTTTGTTCAATATTAACCTAAGTGTATTATACCTTCAAGTTAATTGCAACGTATTGTTATTGTAAGTTTCCAGCGTCTATGTTAGCTCTAATTACTTAATTAGTTCTAACGATGTCATTTATACTTACGATTGCGAAACTACTTTAAATATACTGCCGATGAATCAGTTAGCTGAATCAATGTTAGCTCTAATGTTAATGTTAGCTCTAATTACTAAACTAGTTCAAATAATGTCATTTACACTTACGATCGCGAAACCACGAGTACATTGAATATTCTGCCGATGACTCAGCTGAATCAAGGTCTTCGAGGCCTTCGCAAAAAGTAAAGATTGCACACATGCCCGAGATCCGTGATAAGTTATCGCCTCGCGGTGAGTAGGTATACTTTAGAGCACACCAGGATTAGTATTCAGAATACGGTAAAACAATACTGCAGCAATTCTGAACATCCCTAATGCAAAATAAAATTTGAGAAAAAAATCCAAAATGTATCGATAGTTATAGTACGTAGGCCGTAAGCTCATCAAATAGTAAGGAAAATTCATTTAATTAGGAGCCGTTTCAGAAATTATTTCCGTAGGGTAAAAATACTATGCATTGAAATAATAAATTAAAACTTATTGACAAAATAAAATAAATCATGTACGTTTTAAAACAATGAACATAATTTAGATGCAAAGAATTTTATAATATGGCAGGCCATGTTGGGTTGAATTCACGAAATAGAGGGCGAGATATCTTGATAAATTTTTCTCCTATAAAATTAAAAATCTGCCTTCTCCTCAAGGAAAAAAATCGTTGTAGGCTATATTTTAAAGAATATTACTTTGAGTGCACATGAGTCTGGATTTTAAAATCAATAATAATTAAACGGTTTTTATTTCAATAAAGAAATTGTAGTATAATTACACGTTCGTGATTTCGTATCTTTATTACCTGTTCTATTTTTTTCTTTGCGTGGAATGTATTGCAAGTACATGTGTGCGCAGAGGTGGGTTGGCGGAGCAAGGGGGGGGGTGCTCCCTGAACATTTTCAAGGGGAGCCCCATAGCGGTACGAGATAAAACACTTTGCGTTCAGAAATATTATCAATCCCTTCTTTTCCTCTTTTTAAACAAACAATTACAGATTTTTTAAAAATTTGATTCACTTTAGGTCTTTTTAGAAACAGTTGAGGTCATTAGCGACCCCTATTATTTTAAGCATAAGTAACAACATTTTAAAAATTATAATAAAATTTGTATATTTAACTATTACAACTTCTCACAATCATTTCATTGAATTCGTAAAATCCGCTAAATTTAGGAATTTGTTACACTTTTGGGAAGAGGTTCACCACGTCTGGCAACCCCATAAATATTTCTTTATAAAACCATTTGCATTAATAGCAACGTTTGAGCCATTATTTTATTTTCATTCTAAAATATTTTATATATTTACTAGTAAAAGACATTGTGATGTAATATAAAATGTCCAATGGAAAAGGGAACCCAGAAATGTAGTTCCTCCCCCCGCTCTTTTAGGATGAGCCACCTGTGATTACAATTATCATTTATCAATTCAGAATGTATGAGTTTCACAATGTGTGCGAATTTGTAGGGCAAGTGAAACTAGGTTTTTCTTCTATTGATATCGGTCAACCCATTAAGCGCACTAACCAGAAGTAAATAACCTCCTCTGGCATACAAAACAAAACATTTTTAATGGAAACCTGAGGAAGCCACAAGAAATTGTAGTACATTTATTTGCAATTAGAACACTCCCCTGATTCTCACCTTTCATATCTTCAATACAAATGAGCCATTGACTGATAACATTTGCGATAACCTTCGCGTCGTCATGAGAACAATACAGATAATTCATAAACCTTCAAAATCTAATATGATCGATTCGCAGAACGCCGCATGGATACTCAATAGTCCCCAAAATGCGCGTAAGTTCACGAATATACTTTTCTGTTATTGTTGATGTAAGGTAATCGTGTAAGGAAGTTCCTGCTTGGAGACTTATCACGTGCTGGGTTTTCTAACCAGTATCTAACGTGTCATGCAAGAAGTACCGCAAGGAAGTTTAGCGCATACGAGTGAATCAAGAGTTGTGTTTCATTTGCAGCGTCTTAAACTCCAACTTCGTATTTAGGAGAAAAAATATAAAATACCCGGCAGACGTTGTCCTGCCCTCCATATCTCTCTTTCTTCTTTCCTCTCCCTTTCTCTCTCCGACACTCTCACCATCCCTGTCCCTCTGTGTCTCGGTCTCTCCGTGTCTTTCCGTCCCTCTCGCACTCTCCTCGTCTCTCTTGTCTCTCTTTATCTGTGTGTGTGTGTGTGTGTGTGTGCGTCTCTCTATTTGTCTTTCTGTTTCTCTCTGTACGTCTGCCTGTCTCTCTCTGTATATCTCTCTCTCCCGGGTGAAATTTTACAACCGCATGGACAGAATATGCAATGAATCCGCTCTTAATAATCGTACTCGCGATGCGGCGGGTTGCCTAGAGCGCCCTGTACAGTAGCGCGTGAGTCAGCATAAAATCATCAACAATAAGCGTCTATGTACGCAAGCATTGGCACATTCCTATCGTACTATGCCTATATTCTTCCCACACGTTTAAGCAATACGTTATCAAAGTTTTATTGCAATAGGATGAACGGTACGGCAGCGGATTAAGTACGAACCAACCAGCCAACATACATTGTTTTTATATATTAGGTACTTTTTAGCAAAATATAATGTTCTTATTTAGTGCGATAGGCAGTATATCAGCATTCCAAGTATAGTGCTTGTAAAACTGTTACACAAGTGATTCGCAAATGCTGTATTATTTTGCAATTGGAATGAAACATGGCAATTGAAGAGGTGAAAACCAATGTTTCAAGTTTTAGCGGTACCCTAGAGGGCTTATCTGCCTTTTGTTTGGAAGCAATGTAAGTAGTTTGCCAGCACCCGTAAGAGAGAATATATTCTACAATGAACTGTACGCTTTAATTTATATAATAACTTTTATGATTATTTTGGCTTGTTTGCAATATATTTGGAATCAAGTAGCATAATGTCTCTTATACTACGTTAAAACAGGAAAGTAAAATTAAAGTCGAGATTTGTAAAATGAGGAAATAAAACAAGGCATATTTTTTACTTTATTTTATAGTTGCAGCAACAGCGAGTATTATAGCATCTATTTTATAAGATTACAATTCAAGGTTTTTCATTGGGTGGTTATATATTGTTTTCACTTTTATATTTTTGTTCAAAGCGTAGCCATTACAGTTAACATTAGACGTATTATCAGTGGTTGAAAATAGGTCAGTAAATGTTATGATATAACCATTCAAAAGCAGTATTACAGTTCGTTAAATACATTAATTAATTTCCAGAATTATACGTTTTTTCTTCTTGTAGGGTTCTTGCGTCATGAAGCAATGAATTAATAGCTAAGTTATGCAAGATTGATTGGAAAGATTGATTAAAGAAAAGTCCCGAATAATGTCTAATATTATTATTTCTACAATGCAATGAATTGCAAATTGGAAGAGTATTCTTATTTATTATGTGAAGGTTACTTAGTCTCTTGTGTTCAGTTCTAATTCTGGTGATTGTAACTTGATCTTTTCGGAACTAAATAATCTTCCTAATAAAAGGAATAATTTTTAACATGAAACATTTCTGGGAAATAAAACAGAACATATTTCATATATTAAACATCATAATTCATAACTGCGGTGCCTTAAACAGGCAAGTGATTTTCAACAAATATTCAATCTTTTAAATATGTTGGTCTTAAAATTCTATTAAGAAGAAAAATATATACAGGTGTTACATGTTACAAGAATCTAGTGTAAGTATGTAGCTCACTTTTTGTCAAAGAACAAGAGGCGTGAATCATCATGCAATGAAGCTTCAAAGGCGACATCCTCGCCTGGTCGGTAGGCAATTGATCTTGCACTGGTGTTAGGCAGGTACCCGAAATCTTTTTGCCGAACCGAACACCTTAAATACCAGAAAAGCTTGGAAAATTACTTTTTGTTGATTTGTAGAAAAGTATTATAAAATAGCAGTAGAAATATTTTTAGTACTAGAAGATTCAGTTGAAAAATGTGTGCACGTGGAAACTGAATATGTGACATTAATATTCATCAATTCAATAAGCAATTTCAGTTAACTGCTATTTTCTCTGAGAGCTTTATTTGGATTTTTGTCAATTGCTATATTCTAAAGAAATGGGAGATATATGTTAATGGTTTTATTAAAACAATCTACGGAAAGTGTGTTAAATTTTATATTTATGCAAAATAAAAGCAAGATAAAATCATTTTTACATCTAAATTCTA